GACCTGCCAGCGTCAAGGTGACCAGTGCTGTCTCCACAGTGCGTCCGTCCGCCTGCCTGTGTCCTCCCCCGACAGGTCGAGCAGGTCTAACAGACACTGGCCACCTGCTGTGCCTCTCCTTGGCACTGCCTGTGTGTGTTGTGTTTGTTTAGAGCACTGGGTTTTGAGAGGTTTTTGGACCCCGAGGATGTGTAGCCTTTCTCCAACTTTGGGTTCAGAGGAACGCTTCTTGCGGGCCGTGGAGTGTCTTTCCGGCTATATTTGTGGGCTTTTGCTGGTTTCTTGATTTGCTTGGTTTTGTTTTTGCCCCAGGAAGAGCTAAGCATCTCCCTTCTGTCTTGTGGCTGTGGTGTCACAGGGGGAAGAGCAGTGCCTCCCCCGAGGTTATGCACAGAGTTCCCGAAAGGGCTTCATTTTGCACATGACATATTTAGCCCACCAGGATTTCCCTTTCAAAGAATCAAAATGTTATTTCAAGTGAAAACAAAACAAAACAAAACATCACCAGCCCCCGCTTAAGCCACGTGGGCAGGCACGCAAAGCCACCTTTCCTGTGGCTTCATTGACAGGGAACACCCAGGAGAGGTAAAGACTCTCAGAGGGGAAGAGGACTCGGGGCTGTCAGGGATTCCGGGGTGGGGTGGGGGAGGGGGGAGGTCGTGCTCTGGATCCAGGGTTTTACTTTGAAGAAAGGAATATTGTGAGCCTGCGTGGTAGTGATGGTCACACGGTTCAATGAAGGCACCTAGTGCACCTGAAGTGCACAATTTCAGAGGGACAAAGTCTATATTTTATTAAAAGAAACTTAAAAAGGCAAAGGAAAGGATCCCATAACCGATATGAAACAAAGAGATGGAAGTGAAGAAAAAGCAATCACGAAGAACTTCAGGGGAATGGAAGTCAATTTCGGGTGCGGGATGGGATTCATTGTGGTATTTTGAGGAAGAAGGTGCATGTGGGCACAGTGGAAGCTCAGCCCCAGGGGCTGATGACACCTGTACATGCTCTCTTTGGCCCAGTATTCCAGCTGCAGTTGCAGCATCTTCAGGACGTTCGGAAGCAGTGGGAGCTTTGGGACCGTCAGGAGAAGCAGACGCTACTGGAGTGGCAGGAGCTGCAGGATCTTCATGAGCAACGTTAGCTCAGGCCAGAAGTTGGGGAGGGGATCCTGTACCGTGTTTGTCAGCTCATTGTGACCACGTGGCCCCTTAGAAGTGGATGTGACAGGCAGGGTGTTCAGGAATATTCAAACCATGAGGTTGCTGTTTAAAGCTGAGGGGCCACAGCCAGTCTAAGGTTAGGACTCCCCTGCCATCAGCTAGTGAGTAAGCGATCGGCACTCCCACAACCCACTCCCACGGACGCTGAATTAGCGTCTACCCGCGTGAGATCGTCCCTGAGCCTCTGGGCGAGAGCCCAGCCTGGCCGTGTCAGGACGTCAGATCCACAGAGCCATGGGACACTCTACGAGTATTGGCAAAGCCATGGAACCTGTGGCCAGCTGTCACCATGGCCGTGGAAGCCATTGGGGCCTGGGCTGTGCTGAGACAGGGAGGTTCCCCTTTGTGAGCAGCACCTCCTCCATCATAAGCAGTCCAAACCCTACCTGCTTCCTGCGGGCACATGGGCCCCGTTTAGCCATAACTTTCCTTGGGGTTTGTTCAACAACTTCCTTTTTATTTGTGATTACACTGTATGATCCTACCTTAGTTATTTTTAACCTTGTACAATTCTCGTGTACAAATGTTAGTGCCTTCTAAGTGGGAGTACCTCTAAATTATTTAAGATGCTCTGTAAATAGTGCACCACTTCAATTTGCTGCCTGTTTCCTTCTGACCAAAATGAAGACAGGCACGACCGCCTGTGTGGACAGCCCGCCGTAGCCGGTGTGTGAGGTTCCCAATGCATCACACCCTGCTTGGTGAGGCTCCTGTCCTTTGAAGTGACCCATTCCGTGTGTTCCCTCTAGACCCTTGCATGCCTCCTGTGCTTCAGCCTCAGTAGAGTAGAGGACAGCCTTGAACTTCCAAATGGTTCCATGGACCCTGACCCTGGGCCGGTCCACTCCGGGGTTTGTGTCCTGCAGGGTGGACCCCCAGCCCCAGCCACCCTGAGCCTGCCATGTTTATCTGACTCCAAAGCCACCAGGGCTTCCAATATCTTCTGTCACTTGAAGCAATAACTAATTCTAAACTGTACAGACAGGTCTGGTCCAAAGCAGATTGGTGATTCAGAGACAAGCCACGTGTATGCGTTTTCCCAGATTGCAGGGCACCGTGGGGACTGACACCCCCAAACCCTGGCTGATGGGTGGGCTCTGGGCTCAGGCAGGATCCAGCCAGCCTTCAGAGACACGATGCTCTGTCTGCAGCTGATAGAAATCCTGCACCATCATCCCAGGAGTGAGCTGGATAGAGTGCTTGAATCCCTGCTTTCACCTCTCTCTCGAGAAGGAAAGTCTGGGTTGGCCTGTCACAATGTCCAGGTTGACCATGGGGTGAATCATCTAGGTTCCAGGGTGCGCCAACCCTTCTGCGTGGTGTGTTCTGTGATCGCCTGAGTTGGGATCCTGCTGGTCTACCCGTGTGGCCAGTCCTGCCCCTGCCCCGCACGCATGACTCGTAAGGAAACCACTGCCTCTGTGTGTGTCACCCACGCAGGAAATGCAAGGTCACACTGTGCCCTGCATTGAGTAGCGCTCTTGGGAGGGGTCACAGATCTGCTGGTACACTTGTCATTCTCAGTATGCAGCCCCATTAGTTATGTGTAACGAACTCCCCATAAACTGACTTATCCTTGGTTTTGTAATGGCTTCAATGAACAAAAGAGCAACAAAGCAAAAACCAAAAATCCAAACTCCGTAGAGACCATGAGTTTCAAAATATTTTGGTTTGGTGAAATAAATGAGGGGTGAGCTGTGGCCAGCGGACAGTTGGCGGCCTCGGCAGTGTCCCTGGGCCTGACCATCCCGCCTCCCCAGCTGCGGTTTGCTTTGAAAGTCGAATTTGCACTAGCAGTCTCTCATTTTCATGTAATACTCCATGTACTGCAGTGGATGACGAAAGACGTGACGTTTCTCCATACGGTGCG